CCCAATTTTGGGGACCCCTCCCCAATTCCGCCCCCCCCTCACGGCCAGCACGGCGCCGTCGCTGATGACGAGGTACCCGGCCTGAGCCGGGACCCGCTCCAGGCCCTGCGTCAGCGCCGACGTCTGCAACCAGTATGGACCAGTGTAAACCAGTATGGACCAGTGTAAACCACTACGGACCAGTATCATCCCAGTAAACATCAGTAACACCCAGTGCGCCCCCAGTATCCCCCGGCACTTCGCTCAAGCACCCCCCCAGTCCTCCCCAGTCCCCTCCAGTCCATCCCAGTTCCCCCCCAGTCCATCCCAGTCATCCCAGTTCCTCCCAGTCTCTCCCAGTTCCCCATCCCAGCTCTCACCATAGCGACGCTCCCGCTTCCCTTCCGGACACGTGACCCACCCTCAGTGCCCGCCCCGCCATCTTATTGGTTTAGAACTTCTGTCGTCACCGGCCCGCCCACCAATCAGAGCCGGCTGAGGGATCACGTGTTCAGAGGAGAGACGAACTCTATGGTTCGGCGGACCGGAAGTGCCGCTCAATCACACGGCCAGGGTCTCGGTGGTTTCCTCCGCGAAACCGGAAGTTCCGCTCAGTCCTCCACCGCTTGTCTCGATTGTTTTCCCACAGACGCTCAGTCCTCCAGGCTCCGTCTCTATCGTCCTTCAGTCCTCCAGCTCTCCCCCTACCGGCGCCGCGCGCTCCCAAAACGCCAAAATTGGGGTAAAACGCCCCAAAAGAACTTTAAAAAATGGGAAATCTCCCCCGGGCGGTGCCCTCGGCTCTGAGCACCCCCCTCCACACAGCTGACCATTCCCACCATGACCACAACCCCACAGCTGACCACTCCCGTGGTGGCCACAACCACTCCCATGGTAGCCATGGCCATCCCCATGGTAGCCATGATCATCCTCGTGATAGTCACACCCATCCCCACCCAAACAGCCCCAGCAGCGGCCAAACCCCTGACTCCAGTGGCCACCACCCCTCAGGTGACCCCCGCCATGGTAGCCACGACCATCCCCATGGTAGCCACGACCATCCCTGCAGTAGCCAAGACCATTCCCACGGTAGCCACCACCACCCCCACAGTAGCCACGCCCACCCCCACCAGTGGCCAAACCCGTGACTCCAGTGGCCACCACCCCCCAGGTGCCGTCCCCCCGCCCTGGTGCCCCGAGGCCAGCGCGGAGCCGGGTGCGGTAGCCAAGGAAGGATCCGGGGTTTATTCGCTGCGGTTAAACAAGTGCCCGAGCCCGGG